AAAACAACAATGTTTCAAAAACTTCACATCTCTTGAGGTCTCACGAAAAGAGTCACATTTTCGTTCTAAATTCATTTTTGAAGTTTTCAGGATTCAAAACTCGAATAATCCTCATCTTCCGCTTTGATCCCTGCTTAATATGGTTCTCCTGGTCCCATTACTGCACAGTTTTCTCCTTCCAACAAGACTACCAAGAAATCGACTGCATAGAAAGGTTTATAAATCAGTGGTGTGGAATTTTTCGAAGTGATATAGACGGTTCAGTTCTAGCTTCAAGTAGTAAGTGCCGAGAAAAGCTTACCAACAAAATCTCGTCTTTCCTTGGCTCTTCAGTCTGCTCCCAGTCGAAGGACAAAGATGATCCGTTCATGGTCCACGTTAAGTTGTCATTAGCGTTCTCGAGCATACTTGGTCTTAACTGTGACAGGATGACGTCTGCAACATCGCCTTCCCCAGTGGCAGATGCAGCAGGATCATCACTGGATCCAGCTAGCCGACAGATATTGGGAGATGGTTGTTTCATTGATGGTGCTGGCCACATGTTCGCAACCTTTTCTATGATTTCTTCCAACAGCGTAGCAACGTCACTATCGGAACTGCCAATACATGTTTCTCGGTTGAGTTCCACATTTTCTGGATGACTGAGGTGTTCCTCCTGTGAACCAGTAACACTGGATTTACTAGTGGAACTAGAGGCTTGGGTTCCGGATTCGGTAGTCTTTCCGTCTGCAATGAAGACAGAATCGTCAAATCTGACGGGAGCGTTGGAGTGTGAACAGGAGTCAGCTTTTTTCTCCTCATCAGCATTCCGAACAATTTCTTGCGTGCTTGATACATCCTCATCGTCAAAGAAGCCGAAGGATATGCCAGTGCAGTCAAAAACTTGCGCAAACGAAACGCTTTGAAACTTGTACTCCTCCTCGGAAAGGAATCTTTCCCAGTCACGAACATCAGCCGACAGCTTCTCGACAACTCGCGCAAACAAGTGAAGATTCTGCTGTAATGAAAGCTCTTCGGCTCCGATAGGAAGTGCGAAAAGAACACAAACACTATCTCCTCCAAGACCGCGATCGAACGCCAAGAGCAATGAACGCGAGATTACTTCAGCATCTTCTGACTGAAAGTTTTCTGAAACATTTCAGGCCTATAGGGCAAAGTACTAAACGTATTGTTATTCTAGTGGGGTTTAGAAATTACCA